AAGTCTCCACATTGTATTATATTTTTAATGTGTTTCTGGTCCTCTTTCAGTTGAGACAGTGTAGATGAAGGATGTGTCGGGATGTAGAACTCTTGTTTGAACATTGGATAAAGCCAGGTTCATATTCTTGTTTCATGTTGTTGACATATTAGAGTCAAAGGTTTGCACAGAGCGAAATATCTTTGTGTTGCACCATAAATCAGAAAATACTGCATTAAAAAAGTCATTTCCTGCATTTCTCTACTGATAAAGTGTGATATAAATAATGTACAGGCTTTCAGATTGCTGTAGTTCACTAAACAGAGACATTAACGACATGTTTGGTGTTGAAAATGTCAGAAAAAGTGAAAGAATGGGAGATAAATATCCCCAAATCTCAAAATCGTATTATATTTTGTGTGTGTTTGTGGTCCTCTTTCAGTTGAAACACTGTAGGATGCTTCAGGAAAAGACCAAACACTAGATGTCTTTCAGTCGCCAACATGTGTTTTCGAGACACATATATTAACGGGGAAATCCTGCAGGACTCAAATGCCTCGTCTCTGTTCCCTTAAACTCATTTGGGAGTGATTACCCATCAGCCCCTGGGGTTCAGAGGAAAGGCAGCGTTACCCCCAGTCTGCACGTTGTTTATCTTTCAGACTTTTTGTATGATGGGATCACTGACACTCTGCAAACGGTGTCCGCCAAAAGTCGAGTCCAGTGTCTATGGAGTGTCATCTTTATTTGCTATAGTTTGGGAAGATTGAAAATCGGTAGGGAAAGTCAGCTAAGTCGGTAGGCGGTAGAAACACATAAAAAGCGGTAGACTACCGCCCAAATCGGTAGGGTTGGCAGGTATGCACAGGAAAGGGAAGACCCCCAAAAGTATAATAGAGTGCCTTTAAAACAATCTACTATATCTTACCTGATCGCTTATTCCTATAGCAACATGTCCCACTTTGACCTGCCGACGCTCACGGATCCGCAGACACTCGCCCTGGACGTTCTCGATCCAGATGTCAACACCTGGAGCGTCAGAGAAGAGAATATCAATGAAAAAAAAATCAACCAGCATTAAAGTTATTACAAGAGCCCGGTCATTTTACCCTCGAAGCAGCAGGAGGAGGGCTGATTGTCTGAGGCCAACCACTCCAAATGTCCGTCTGTCTGACTGTTGCAGGAGGAAAAGACTCCAGAGCTCAGATCATCAGACGAATGGTCAGAGTCCTTAACACAAAGGGAACTTTTTTTTTTTACAACAGCAATCACACATGAACATACACATCTGTGTTCTTTCAACCAAAGACACACACCTTCTCTGAGGAATCCATCGGTGATGTGTCCGAGCAGCTGAAACAGGAAGGAGGGTCATCTCGAGGTTCAGGGGATGGGGTCTGGATTGTTGTGCCGATAGCTACATCTAGTCATAGATAACATATCAGCAGTTTCTGTTAACAGCTTGCCTTCCTTCAAACTAAAGGACAACAGCAGTGTTTTGTTCTCAGATTCAAGTGCTTTAACAAGAAGTCAGGATATTAAATATTGCCTTAATTAACTCTCAGAGTGTATGGCTCAGTAACTCAAGGTGCGTGTTTGCAAGAAGCCTTTTCAGAAAATAATTTGGATGGACACCTTCTGTGTAACTCCTTGCAAAATAAACTCAATTTAAATGAGCTTTTACACCTGATGTAACTTAAATAATGGCTTGATGGTTTGGACTGGAGTAACAAATACAACAACAAAATACTCATTCAGCATTAATATGGCATTTGACTAATGTATTGCAAAAGTACTTCACATTGGACTAATCTGCAGGCTTTAAAAAAGGAAAGACAACTTTTAAAAAGGGCTAAACCAGAGATATCATTCTTTTGTACAAGCATAATTTTTCCTTGTGTAAACCTTGTGCCTGCATTCCACACAATGCAATTTCATCATGCTAGGAGCAGCTAATGTGGCCTGGAGCTTCGTAGCCTTCAGCAGGTATGAGCAGCAGGCAACACAGACCTGAGCTTGCTAATAGCACACCTCCGGATCTTTTACATTTGCAAACTTGTCAGACCCCACAAATGACTAATGTGACATCCCTTGAGGAGATTTTCTAATGTTTCACACAGCTCTCTCTGGTGCAACTGAGTCTTTTTCAACATTTGATTTATTGCAACAGCTTTTCTGATGATTCAAGTTGGTAGACTTCCTCTTTAAGACAGCCTGAGAAAAAAAACTCTGTGTTCCTTTAAATATGCAACAGAGAGGAACATCTCTGTAATCACTGTGAGATGCAGTATTCTAACAAAAATGCAGAGTGTATTACTACCCCTCTTAGGCTGTCCTCATGACACAGAGTTTTTCTGACTCACCGTCTCGGAGGTATTCCAGCTCTGGCTCTGATCCCCATGAATTGTCATTTGTCTGTTGGCCTTTTTGCAGCAAAGGGAAAATGCCCCGAAGAGCACGGAGATACTCTGACTTGGAAGATTCCCACTCTTCTTCGTCCTCATCCTCCTTCTCCTCCTCTTCATCTCCTTCCTCTTCCCAATCCCCCTCATAGTCCCTGTCACTTCTCAGCCACTTCTCCTGAACATATTCCTCCTCTGCCATGTATATATCGACCTCTGAGTCAGAAAAGCTGTCCCAGTCTCCTACATCTGCGGTGTAATCATCTTGAAGTGATTTTGGCCGGGATTCCCACTCCCTAATTAAGGAATATGTCTCCGCTTCAGAGTCTTGATCTGAGACACCATCTCTCCAGTCATTGCTGTCCTCGTCCACTGCTGTAGTCCTCCAGGGGCTCACCCAGTACATGGTATCTGATGCTTTAGTTGGGTTGACATCAGGTGACAAAGAACAGGGGGTGTCTTCATTCTGGCTCTTGCTATGATGAAGCTTCTCACAGGCAATTTTGACAGACCAGGGGCTCAAACCCCCAACTGTTGAACACATTCAGAGTGGTCAGTGACACAGATCCTTTCACAACAATAATAAGGTACTGAAGATGATCAAATTTGAGGGTTGACACATTGTTTTCCTACTTAATAAATACAAATATCTGTGTTTTTCTGACAATCCCATCAACAACACTATGTCTGAGGTGCCTCAAGGTTCCACCCTGGGTCCTATTTAATTTCCCTATACTTGCTCCCTCCTGAGGATATTATTCCCTGCCATGGGTTCTCCTTTCATTTTAATGCTGACGACGCCCGGCCATACTTGTTTAATAAATCATTCAGACTTTTATATGTTTATATGCAGCATATTTCTGACAGTGTATTTAAAAGATTCTAAATTTAGCAATATTTTAATCACCTGCTTGTGCTGTCCGTCTTTTCACTTTGTTTATGTTAAAACATCTTCCATGCGTTTATTTATTATGTGCTTTTATTAATGCCCTTTTTACCTTTACTTTTATAATTTACTACTAACGTTTAAAGCATAGAGTGGTGCAGGGATGACGTATTTTTTTAGGCCGACCCGGAAATAAACTGCGCATGGGTTTCCTTGACAAAAAAGCAATGGGATTTCTCCATAGGATTTTGGAAAATAGCTCGAAATAAGGTCTATGGAAAACGAACACGAAAACGTTTGATAAATGCACGTTTTGTTCAGCCGGATAATCTCCACATGTCTACCTTACTTTTATCATTTTCTGATCTAACGTTATGCTATAAACGAACTAGAGCCGAGTACAGCAGGGTCGCACGACTTCAACATGACATTTTCGATATTCAAAAATACAGATTCAAAATTGTACAAGTTGAAGCGTTTGTTTTAACAGTTTGCAAGAGCGCAGGCAGGCCCCTCCCTACACGCGGATCACGCAGACTGCGTGGGGCCTCACCTCGTGGAGGGTGCCTCATCTTGCGGAGGGAGCCTCATCCGAAGCATGTGCTCCACTAGCCCCAACTTTATGCGCTTATGAGGCGCAATTACTGTAAGTGCACCACAGTTTCACCGCTGCGAGGCTCCAGCGCGTGCTCCACTAGCCCCCCGTCGTCGTCGACGACGCTCGCGACACAGAGGGCCTCATCACATAACTTTGCGTGGGGCCACAAGTTGGCCAGGGGCGGCCCTGAGCGCAGGTACTTGCTTTCAGGCAGAACAGGGGCAAACAAACTCAGCGGGAGTGTTTACGTGTTCGACGTTATGACTTACAACGTCCTCGACAACTTATGTAGTCCTATTCAGCCACTTGTTAACAACCATCGTTTTTCAGACACGTAAACTCTTCCGAAATCACCAGTGGGGTCACTGCTGATGGATTTAATGTCGTAGAACAAAACGTGATCTGTCTCTTAAATTTGTGTCAACCACAGACCTTATTTCGAGATATTTTCCAAAATCCTATGGAGAAATCCCATTGACTCTGAGACGAGGGTCCCCGTAGTGGTAAAATGCTAACTCACTTCCGGGGTTTGGGACTCGTCACTGCACCACTCTATTGCATATCAAGTAATCATTTAGCACTGTGTTTTAATCCTGTTTATCTTTGTTTTTTCTATTGTTGCCATGTTTGGTTTGCACTAAACTGTTTCGTAAATGGTTTTCTGATCTAGTTTTATGTTTTTGAGTCCTTTGTATTGCTTGATATTGTTTTGATAATGTAGAGCACTTAATCTTTAATTAAAAATCTGTTTGGACAATGTTTCATTATATAATATAACTGATTCTGGAATATGTGTCACATTGACCTGCTCTAAGGGCCTTGGTGGTTTTCCTCCGGAGTTCTTTGGCAGATGTTCGTCTGTCGGAGTCTTTCTGGAGTCCAGCCCTGAACACTTTGGCCGTGAAGTTGTTGCAGTTGGACGGCACCTCCCATAGAGGCGGTGGCTCATTGACAATCTGACAAAAACACAACAGGAAATCTTCATGCATGTCTTTTAGCTTGAGAATGTAAACCTCACCCTTTCTAATGAATACAAAATAAGACTCACCTGCAGACACAGAGGATGGGAGTAGTAACGTATCCAAGGGTGGCATCCATTGAGCATGTGCAGCAGCATACAACAACTGCTCCACACGTCGGCCTTGGCACACAGTTGATCCCCTCGGGCCACCTCGGGGGCCATGTGGGTCTCTGTGCCGGGGAAGGCCGCTCCTACATCCACAAACAACAAATTCATTTTTATCTCTGCATATTTTTAATGACCTCGTCTTCAGGATTGTGCTGCTGTTGTTGACACATTTTGGCCTACTTCTTTCTGAGGCTGTAGGCAGCTTTATTTAATGTTATGTTTTTCTTTCTGTGTTTATAATTATATGGAAGCCCTGAGAGGCAAGTGAGAAAAAAAACAATTTTGAAGTCTGATCTACAGTAAATTGATCTAAACAGAAAAAAATGGTATTGACTGAATACCCTTGTAAGGTTCATTATTCTTTTTAAATTACTTTCTTAATTCCAATTTTGTTTATTGTTTTTTACGTTATTCAGAAAAAATGTCAAGCATTTGTGAGCAGCGAAACAGATTATAGCTCAATACACTCAGCTATGTTGGTGCTACAGCCAGCCTAACTCGGTCTAGTATGAACACAAGCTTATGGGGTAGATTGACAACCTAAAGGGAAATGTTGCTGTATAACTAACATTAACATGGGCCTGTTTGATGACTTTGTGACTTTCTACTTGCAGACTTTAAATGATGAAATCATTTTTTTTTGTATTCATCTTTAACTTTCTGTTATTTTCGTGGACTTGCTAAAGAACATGATAACACAACACACCAGTCAGACTGACCTTTAGGCGTAAATACAGGAAGCAAACATAATGTTGTTCATGGGTTAACAGCCATTTGAATAACAGCCGCTTATTTCTTTCAGTCAAAAAGTGAATTTGTATCAATTGTAATTTTTAAAGTAAACTTCATCTCTAATCTATCCAAGTGTAACTTTTTGAACCAAATGCAATAACGTGGTCATGATAAGGTGCATGATATGGTTTTTATAATGTACAATTTGCCACAATGTATGCTGACATTTTAGACCTTACTCACCCCTGAATGTGTTGGTGCTCCATCCATTGTCATCCAAAGTCTCTGAGAGACCAAAGTCACAGAGGAATGTGTCCCTGCAGTCTGCAGACAGCAGCACATTGTCAACTGAAATAAAATCAACACGCAGGATTTAGTGTGACAGCTTGCTTTCATTTGGTGCTCATAAATAAACAGATGAATGAGAAATCAGGAGTGATGGGTTCACGGGGTCAAAGCTGTGGTGAGCAGGTTGGAAAAATATGTTTTCCGTTACTATTACTAATTGCCTGTCAAAAATGTTATCAGTGACCTAAGTGCTTAAATCTGATCATTTTATGTTACTTTTTGAATACATCGAGTCTTGGTGAAAGGCTGGATCGACCTAAAGGCTGAGTGTACTGTACTTCCAATTTAAGGCCTTTTATTCAGGCTAATTGTATTTGAATTATATGAAATCCTTTGGTTTAACTTTAAATGTTTGCAACTAAGTACACAATATAGCTAACATGTCAAATAATATACTTGATTTATATATTTACATCCTACTTATAATAATACGTTTAATTCTTTAGCCCTGAATATAAAATGTCCTATTTTCCATTTGAGTAAATATGTTTTTTGACAGCCACAACAACAAAGAAAAATGTAACATATATTGCAGGGAGCAGAGAAGAACAACTTTAGTTGTTAGCTTCATGCAAGTTACAACATTAACATTTTTGAAAGTAGCATTCTACTGCATGCTAACAATATTCTCTGTCAGTGCAGTAAAGTTAAGTGCAGTAAGTTCAATTATGCAGCATTACTTTACACAATGACATCGAAAGGCAAAACAGTCATGTTAGTAACTCAAGTCAATGTGATGGCTCTGACTGAATGTTGTCTGTGAGTGCTTTATAGTCCGGCCCATAGCTAAAGCAAGCCAGTGTGAGGGAGGCGGCTCGGTGAATGTGGTAATGTGATCGACCGGTTAGTGACGACCACTGAGGACCAACAATGGAAGTACACGTCACGTCAAATGTACTACAGTTTACAAAGCAACACAACTATTTGTCTGCATGTGCTTTCTTTTTTTATTAACTAATTAATAATTTATAATTCATTCTATCTACATTGGGTTCCACCCCAATCGTGATCTGGAGCTAGCGTAAAGTGGTATTTTAAATAATAAAGCTCATTTTTTTGCTACTCAAATTGAAGATCTGATATGTTGAGAACTGTTGTTGGTTGCAGTGAACGCAAAGGGGCCTCATTCTGAGCGAGCCCCCTCCTCTTCAATCCTCTCAGTGAGGATTACTGAGGGCTTAGGTGTCAGTTAAGGATTAGGTACCAACACTGGGGATGCCACCTGACAGTAGAACCAGCAGCTACAGGCTTACTGGGCTCTCCCCATCCCTGTAAGAACTGCTGATAATGCCACATCTACTACCATGGCTATTTCAAGCTAACGCTAAATGCAAAAGGAACCATCAAAATAATGTAAAAAGTGATGGAAGTAAATGTAAAGGTAAAAGCAAAAGTACACATAACAAAATAGAATATCAATTCATCAATTATTTTTATTTTTTTGTATTTAAATTGTCATATACTCTAATGTTTTTATTATATAATCAACCAGTGTTTCTGAAATGGGGATAATAGAACCCCAAGGTGTATTAGTTTTTAATATCGTAGTTTGTAAAGTCACATAGAAATAAATGTAATGGTATAACATATACTGAACAAATACTTTTTACCACTAAGGGTCAGCTAAATAATCTGTACACAACACTGACATATTTTTGTCCGTACAGCAGACATGGAACACCGGTGTCATTCATTTGGAGTCATGTTTCTAGTAACCAAATATGTGTCTCTTGCTGCTTATGTTCCTCTTGTTCACCAGCAAGTTTCTAATTGAGTCCGTCTGCTTTGTTAATGAGTTTTTCTTTTCAAATAAAAGCTGCTTTAAACCAATCACTAGTAATCTATGGCCTTAAGTCACAAACAAAATGGTAATATTCCCCTAACAGTTGAGAAGATTTGAAGAGTTTTGAATTGTTTTCTGTGTGTTCGTCACTATGAGTGTCACCTTTCACATTAAACATTTAATCCATTTCTCATATTAAACTATTGATGAGTGCAGCTTAAAGCAGAGGAATTAAGTTACCTTCCACCACTGTCAACTTATAGCACGAGCATGAACAGTCGTGCAAGAAGTGTTCAGTATATAAAAGTAAAGTTTAGTAAAGTACTAAAAAGTAGCAAAATCAAATGAAAGTATTACAAAAATAGTATTCTTTAGATCCGTTAGTGTTATATCATTATATCAATGGACAGTTGTTCCATTGTTCTTCCACGACATTGTTCAAATATATACTGTATATTCATTCAAAACATTTAAATGTGCACATTGCTTTATTGCTCGAAGAACAGGATATTAATTTAATTGTGTTATATAACTTTTGGTTAGTATTATATGTTTTGTTTGTAAAATATGAATCTAAGGACTGTCTAAAGAAGACTATTAAATGCAATGGAGTAGTTTAAAGTAGCATATCATGAAAATACTCAAGTAAAAATACCTAATACTTGCAATTAAGTACAGTGCTTGAGTAATTGTGGTGCATTTCCATACACATACATTGCCTAGCTTTACATGTCCGAATACTGTAAACACTGTGGCTCCAACAAGACTATCATGTTGTCTGAAACTTAAACATACCTTTGACGTCCAGGTGGAGGACCTTCCTGTGGTGCAGGTGCTCTAGTGCCCCTAGTGTCTGGTGAAGGTAGTGCAGGGACAAATCCTCAGGCAGGGAGTTCATCTCTTTGAGAAGCTGGGCCAAACATGCTGAAGAAACACATATTTACTTACAGATAAAAAACAAAGTAATTATGTCATTTATTATAAGAGAACATATCCTGCTCATTTTCAGGTTCATATTTGTATTTAGTGCCTCTACTGTGACATGTTTCCATGCTTTAATGTTCAAAAAGCTCTTTATTTTTCTCATACTGCCTGTGCTGCAGCACCTCTTTTCACCCTCTGTCTGAAACCAGAGCCCAGTCTGCTCTGATTGGTTAGCTGGCCGGCTCTGTTGTGATTGGTCAACCATTTAGAGATTTGTCAAAAATGTCACATCACATACAATGTGTTTGAGCGCTAGCCAATAGAAGCGTGGGTGTTTCAAAGTGATGTCATTATGTTACAGAAGTAAACAAAGGAGTCCAATTGAGGCATTTCAGGCAGGGAGGGAGTGTGTGGGAGAGAAACTCCCTCTGATGGGGACACGTGACCATTTACATGCACAAAACCTATAGAACACATTACAGGAAAGGGAACCTCAAATAGCATAACAGGACCTCTTGAAGATATACAGCATATATTTTTTTACCTGGCTTCAAGTCCATGAAGAGGACGATGTTGGGCCCCTCCCTCACAGCCCCAAAGAGCTCCACCACACGAGGAGAGTTGAGAGCGCTCCACGTGCTCACCTCCTCCCCGCTAAAGTGACTCAGTGGAATCTGAGATCAGTGGATTACAATGTGCTGAATTACATTTCAAAAACCTTAAAATCCCTCAGTGCTGAGGAGAAGGACATTTTGGATGATGAATATATGAGTCACACACTTTCTTGGCTTACCCTCTTGGCAGCACATTGGAATCCGGTCCTTTTGTCACGCACACAGAAGACGTCTCCATACGAGCCGTTCTGGATGTGGTTGAGGACACAGTACTCCTCTCCCTCCCTGTACTGACAGCTGTCGGGCTGAAGTTGCTGATGGATACAAAAGTTCAAAAGGACAATAGGGCTGAGAAGTTAAAACCATCAGAAAGCCAGATGCAGTTGGGCCACACCCTAAACTGTGATGTCACTGCAGGTGTTTCCTGTCTCGATTAACGGACAAATACTTGCTCTAAAGTGCGTTTACAAAAGTACAATACAGAAAGCTTCAACCACAATTTGATCATTGCTACATCAAATACTCACTCTGTGTCACCTTGAATTCTTAAAGAAAAGTTTGTTTTTCTGGCATTTATCCAGTGAATGATGAATAAAAAATGGATTAAATAATACATTCATTTTAATAAAGCTGGCAATGTTAAAAGACAGCAGAACTTTATGAAAACATCCCTTTACAAACTCTCACACAATTCCTGCAGCATAATCTACAAAAAGAAAAGGCTAATTTATCCAGTCTTACTCACTACTTTACAAACACATGCATTTTCGCTAAAATCTTGCTTATTAAATAAACGTTTGCTTGTAAAGTCTTTCCACAGACAAGTAGCACACTTGGGCAAGCGTGAGACTTTTTATGAACAATTTTTTTAAATAGTATGGTATATCGAAAAATAAGTTAGCAGTTAGACTACATCCAGCTAATTGCTACTTGTATTATACTGCAATTGTTATATAAGAGTTTGTTAAAGGGTCTTTTGATATAGTTTTCTGCCGCGATATACTTTAAATCATCCAAACTAATATCTGAATGAGATTCTTTGTTTACCATGGAGGCCAGCAAGAAAAACAAAGTGTTCTTCATTCATTCCTGCCTGTCTTCTTTTGATTTCTCTGACGTCCAACGCTCTGTCTTTTAACCTCTTTCTCTCCCTTTATCCTTCTTAGCAACCCTCAATTTTGCTTAGCAGTGGTGTTTTATTGAGTATTAACAACCTCTGAAATGTCTAAATTGACCAATCAGAGCGAGTATTAAACTAAGCAGTGTACTAATTCAAGGTAACACATGGTGAGAAGTTGAGAAATGATTGGCAAAGTATTCCTTTGAATTATTAGATGTCTTACATGATGAAATATGAGTCCTTCATTGACAGGTGTGCTGGTCTTCCAGTCGTTCACAGTCTGTTTAATCAAATCTCTGAATAAAGGTGAAACAAAGAGCTTTGGCAGCAGTGTCACTCTGCCTCTGAGGTCGTCCAAAACTGTGTCACTCAAGTCATCAAAACCAAAGGCACACTGAGGTGTATTCACAGTGTAGCCTGAATCTCCCAGCAGGCTTTGCACTCCCTCTGCAGAGTCAGAGTCCCACTCAGCATGAGCAGAGTTAAAACCGGACACTTGCATCAGGTCAAAGGTCAAATTTGACATTTTGGCTTCTATGCCATCCTCAGCAGGGCAGGATGAGTCTGACTCGAGAGTGTAAACTGATTCAGAGTCTGCTTCACCTTCAGTGCTGGAGGTGTCGTCTGTATCTGCTGATCTGTAGCACTCCTCTGATAGTGACACACACTCTGATCCATGGACACACACATCTGCACAGCCCTCAGAGTCCCCATGGTTGCAGTCAGTAAACTGCGGAGGCGGCGGTATGATCTCAGCGGATGATGACATCATCTCTCTGCTTGCCAATTTCAGCCAATCGATCTCCTGCACCCAGAGGCCCCGGATGATGGGCGGCTCTTCCCCGTCCTCCTGGCTCTGTCTCCTGGCTTTCCTCCGCTGTTTCCTCTGGAGGTGGTGCTGCGGGAGTTTGCCATCAAAGTCCTCGTCCTCTGAGTCAGTCAGCAGGGCAGTGTCTTTGCTGAGAAGTCTGCAATATAGAGAAAAACTGAGTTTTACAAACTGAAGCTGTGCAGGTTTCACTACGTGCTGAAATTCAGTAATTTTTAGACGACTTAGAGTTTGCCTATACATTTTTTAAATGTCATTAGAGCTAATTCTCCCTATTATTTCAATGGCATAACGCACAATTTATTTTTTTCACAATTGCTGGTCTGAATGTAGTATGCAAAAGTAACAAAACATGTGATTTCCAGGGTTCATACAGATTCAGGTACAGATGTAGATTAGATTTAAGACTTTTTAAAAGCCACTTGGAATAAAATGCAAGAAAAAAATGTGCAGTTATTCCAGTTCTTGAAACTGCATGATGTAAATGCGAGAGGCATTTGGATTCAAAACAAATTATGTTACTAATTATTTAAAGATTTTGCAAGTTTAAGAAAGAAAAAGGCAAACATTCCCATGTCCTAGCAATTGTAAGACTTTTAAAATATATATATTAATATAACATTTGAGGCCCTTATTTAGGTCAAAAATGCAATGCCTTTGAAGTCTTTTGATTTGCATATATGGAACCCTTGCAAAATAAGAAAGGAAAGCCTGGTGGTTTAGCCCTGAGCCTGTTTTTCAGGTCTCAGGCTCGAAAATGACATTCCCAGAACAAATGACCATATCTTCCCTTCTAAAAGGGTTAAATTAATAATCTTTTTTCTCAAAGTAATGATAAACCTGTGAGTTGGATGTAGAAAAGTCAGAATCAATATAGATGTTTTTTATTTTAAAATTATATTGTCCGTCCAAAAATTATTTTTTACTTATAGTGAAATCTACCCTTGGATGATGGTAAGGTAGACTAAAAGCTTTAGGAATCCAAAGTACAACATATAATAAGTACCCTGTATCAAGATTGATGCAAAACAAGTGACAATTGACTTTTTTAGAGAGGTTTAGCCAAAAAAACTCCACCTCTGAGGTGGTTTGGGTGGAAATGGGGGTTTTACCGTTTTTCTGGAACCCATTGGTCGATTTTGGTGATTGACATCTCTTTCTGACCGTTAGAGCCAATAGAATCGAAGGGGAATCTCCCCGCTCACACACATGGTAAAACAAATAGGTGGGGGCTTCGCAGATGCAGTTTTGAGCTATAGCTCTAGCTCTGACATCTGAAAACTAGGTTTATTGCTCATGGATTATCAGAAATCATTTCAAAGTGACACAGACACATCGGATTAATTTATGGATTAACTTCAGCAGCGTTTTTATCGTTTTAATGCCATTGAAGACCACTTTTGACCAGACCTACGGCACAGGTGAGCCATGTTAGCGTTTTTAGCTACCTAGCGCCATATGTTTTGATGTCTGTTCTCTCCGAGAGTTTGTATAATTGAGTGATAATGAGGGTACCGCTCGATTCTGTGTCACCTCACGATGTGAAACGATGGGTTGGATGTGCAGCAAAGACAAATAATAAGGTTTTGTGAGTGAATTTCGGTGCAGTCATCTGTTAGCATTTTCCGCTCATTGCTAATTCAGATGCTCAGCGTTAGCATTGTGGGGTTTTTTTTGATTATTTTTTTTTAAATTATCAGTTAGATGAGTTTATTTCCGTTACATGGATATAAAACATTCATAGTTTATTAAATGAACATGCCCTCAGACACTGTTTCCTGCAAGATGTTGCAGGAGGGCCCCGGTACCGGGGTCTCTCGGGCTTAACAGGTTAAAATATTGAGTACTCGTTTTTGTATTGTTTTAACGTGACATTATATCTTGAAACCACTTCGATTTTCTATGTGTTTCCAGCCACAAGTACCAGAGTCATGATGGAGTGTTTAGGACTTTTCCAACTTCTTTCACACATGTTTTTGCTCTCGCATTTGTTAATTTTGAGACATACTGATGGTAATGGGACTGTATGTTGTGAGGTACCTGTGCTTTTTGAGCAGCTGAGCTCTGGTGTAAAGGCAATGTGTGTTGGAAGGGCTGAACTCCTGGAAGTCTTCTCCTGGGTCAGAGAAATGTTAATGTTATAAAAGCTGCAGGTTGAAATACATTCTGATAATTATTACAAAGAGGAAGAATGGATTTTAAAGCAAATAAAGCAGAGACGTGAGAAGACTGGTACTATGATGCATCGTTGTCGTCCCCCCATCAATCCCATGCAGCATTCATAGGTGCATATTGCAGGTCTTACTCTCTGCCTGCGCTACTATGGAGACACAGAGATCCTCCTCGGCCCCCCCTGGCCCCTCCTCAGTGACCACGTGTTTGGCAGTCCCGTGCTGCATCACCCGGCTCAGATAGGGTGTCATGGCCTGGACCAGCGAGTCCTTCTCCTCCTCACAGCCCTGGCTGCTCTCCTCTTTGCCGAGAAAGGAGATTTCAGATCCTCCGCTCACGATGATGAATGACGTGTTGGAGTTCAACATCCGCGGAATGGCCATTTCTCTGTCGCTGTGCATCTACGCTGTGAGAACTGGAGAGAGGATGAACAAACACATCAGTACATACATAATGCCTTTTGGAAATCACCTACAATCTGGGAATGTTAACATTTTGAATGTTGACTATAGTCAAAGACAAATATATTGCAGGACAAAAGCAAAGTGAGGGGTAGGATTTTTTTCATCAATACTTTTTCCACCCCTTTCAATTAATTAAATAAAAAGCATGGAGTTAGCAAGCATTTTTCACTGTGCTACTTAAAGGTGGGGTAGGTAATTTTGGAGAAACCAGCTCGAGTGCGCTAGAATTTGAAAATACACAGCCGGAAAAAATCTGCCACTTCCTTTCAGAGCCCCTCCTCCAACACACACACGAACGCGCACATGACCAATGAGGGCACGAGATAAATTTGTGGACAGATGGAGAAGGCTGACAGGCAGGTACTGGGTGTTGAACCGGTTGAACCCCTAATTTGGGGGAAATATTAGACAAGGAAACAGAGACGTTTTTAGCTTGCTTCAAGGTCCAATGTATTATGCCAACCAACAACATGGTTGTTCAACTTTTGATGCTCCCGATGCTTTCGAAGCTGGCATCAGCCAATCAAATCCCGTTTATGCAAAACCGCGTGCAAGCTGGGAGAGCCAGACCGCAGTTCATTTCCTCATATTCCAAACGAGAAATTACGGTAGCAAATCACCCGGTTCTTTACGACCAGAACTATTTACCGGGATACAAACCGGAGGAACCAGGCATGGAGGGAGGTGGCAGAGACAGTGGGTGAAACTGGAAGGTTTTCGCCTGTTTGGGGAGTTTATATCCAGTTTACTTCGTTTTAACATTGCTATTGCTTTGTATGTCGGGGCGGAATATTCATGTGATTGGTTGTTGGTCGCGTTGCTCGCAAAAAGTCGCCAAGCTTCAGACACGCCCAGCATCAAGATTTTTCAAGATTTTTTTCATGCCTGTGTGTGGACGGGCCGACATGCATGAAAAAAATCCGGAAAAATCTTGATGCTGGGCGTGTCTGAAGCTTGGCGATTTTTTGCGACCAACAACCAATTACATGAATATCCCCGCGGTTTGATTGGCTAGCGCTTGCACTGGCGGGATTTGCATAAACGGGATTTGATTGGCTGATGCCAGCTTCGAAAGCATCGGGAGCATCAAAAGTTGAACATTGCTCAACTTTTGATGCTCATGATGCTTGCAAAGCCATGCTCCGCTCCCCACAATGCAGTTCGGCGAAGGTTAAAAATCTTCTACGTCACCCCATTCAAGGGAATGGGCGAAGCTTTGAAATATTTTTTTCATGCCTGTGTGTGGACGGGCCGTTACCTACCCCACCTTTAAGTTTAAACTACTCTTTTAGCTGTATATATACAACAAAACATACCTAAATAGAACTATATTTGCTAACAATAACCTGCTAACATACTCACTGACAATGCTAACATGCTGATGTTACCATATTCAGAGTCCTGATTTAGCATGTTAGCATGCTAACATTTGCTAATTGGCACTAAACAAAGAGTACATCTAAGGCTGATGGAAATGTAGTGTTGTAGGTATTTGGTCATAACACTATTGAAGCCAAGAACAGTCATGCTGTTTTTTACGTTATCTTGAGATCCCATTTTTATTTACCTACTGATAACAAGGTTATTTTTCTGGCGAAAATGGAAACAGAAAGACAACAGAAGGCTTGATCGTACCTGATATCAGCCTCCTGCGTCAGGAAGGATTAATAACGTACACTATGCTCCACATAATGAATCCATTAACTTGTGATACTGACAACAACTACAATAGCAAACATTTCCATCATAATTCTCTTTCTAGGCTTTTCTAAGGCAATAGCCCTTAAAGAGCTGTGCACCCGCAATGTTCTCTGAATTATTCCAGATAAAATATATTTTAGGCAGTATGTTTAGTGTTGTGTTTGCATTGCATTTTTGCACTATGCCTTGCACCGTGTGATTTGTTCATGTAATGCTGTGTGGCATGCACATTTCAGAGGACCCATCTCACTACCAATATGATTTCTGCACAGAACTTTGTACCAATTAATTCAGTAGATTTAGTAGTTGGGATATTTCACTGGCTATTTAAAGTCATAAGGGTTCATCCTCAGGAGACCATGAATACCTCGCCAAATATTGAACTCTTGAATAAGGGTTGGACCTACCAAGAGTGGCGAAAAAACATGTACAATACCAGCTAGAAGCATCAACTTCCAATCATAGCAATATCAAGTACTTTTTTGTACACGTGTTTGTCATGGTCACTATGTAAAACTTAAGAACCAGCCTCACACCCTAAATACAGAATGTTTCCGCCCTGGTTGTCAGTAGATTGTACATGTTAATTGATAACGTTAGATGCTTTTCCACACTAATGGAATGGCAGCAACAGCACATTTGTAATTGGCACTCATTTGAATGCGGTGGCATTTGCCGTGGCAAGGCGTGAATGAACAGACACCAGAAGTGATCCTGGCAAGGTGAATATAAATAGCACGCAGAGATTTGGCACGCAGGAGGGCGGCCGCATGCCTTCCACTGCCGGGACAGCTGTCCAAGTCTCTCTTCCTCAAACACTCGCCATGTTGACAGCGAATACTGGAGGGGATCACAACACACACACTGTACCACACAGAGACAGTCCTGATGTCCTCAGACACAGAGCCTTGAGGGGGATGGAGATATTGTAGCCTTTACTCATGAAATCTGGTAATCAACGTGTCTGTTTTGAACTACAGTTAAAACTACTCTAACATTTCACAAGTTCTAATTCCTATCATATGCACAACGATTGCACAGAAGCAATTGTTAGCGATAATAGTCTGTAGTCTCTAATTCCCACCAAATATGCCAATTAAATATGTATGAATAAGAAATAGATTATATCGCGTGAAAAAAACTAAATGAAAACCTGAGCAGTTTGTTTAAAGAGCTAAAAATAATTGAAGACAGGAATGATAAAAAGATCACGAGTTGTGGAAATTAGTAAAGGAACTATCATGAAATACTCTAAGATGAGATAAAGATCACATAATATAAGATAAAAATAAGCTTAAGGTGAGCATTTCTTTTTATCTGCAGAAGGTTAATTTGTAGTAGTTATGACAAGTGTATAAAAATAAGAATTACCACACCATTTGGATAAATGAATTGCATAGTAAAGTTACCTAAAACAGTGTTTTAAACTTATCGGTATTAAGTTAAACACAATAAAGACTCATTCAATCTTCCATCACATGCTAAATCATTGATCCCATAACAATGGCAAACCCTTCCCATTGGTCACTGCTAGCTACACTTCCTGTCTGCTACACGGCTTGCCTCCCTTTGTGACCTGAGAGTGAGAACTCCTCCGATAAAACAGAAGTCAGACTTGTTTAAAGTGTCCTTCCAGGTGCACATTACCTCAGTGAGTGTTGATCTGTGGCTCCACTTCCTGTCTCAGGTTCAGGTGAGATCCTGTCCAGAGAGAAGAAGAAGAAGACGAGTGTTTGCTGACTGTCTGACTCTCTGTTCGTCCTGTTTGGTAATGTCCAAGTGTAACCTACCGGCTCTTTCTCCACGCAGCCTCTGCTGATTGGTCCACCATGTGTGTGAGTTACAATCTCTTACACCTCGGACACCCCTGCCCACAGCCAACCCCCCCAACACAACCACCAACCCTTCAACACACCCACCACATAACAGCCTCTACAGACTACAGATTGATTCTGTATTTATATTATGATGTATCTCTATAATGATAATAATAATAATGATAATAATAATAATAATAACTCTGTCCCCCCTTTAAAAAAGATGACAATAAAATGAAAGCAATTCACGCTACATGGTATAGCTCCAAAACTATCAAACCAATGCAAACTTTATAGAACATAGAGAAAACTTAAAATTAGTGTTTCCAAAAGCTCAATGTTAAAGTAACCTTAAAATATAGAAAACTCAGAAACAGCGGTGAAACCTGATATATATTTGGACAGTTTTTTCCCATCAAATTCCACTCACCCCAATTATTTCCTCTCCTAAGTCTCTTAGATCCCATACCAATTAGCCTGATTAAATAAGTTGTACCCTGAGTTAACACTTATTTATTAGATAAGATCAACCTGTCTTTATTATCAGTCAACCAGGATCCTTTAAAGTAGCTATAAAAACTATTTTTAAAAAGTCTTGATCCAAAGGTTAACAACATCTATAGACCAATATGAAACCTTCCCTTTTTCTCTAAGATAATTAAAAAGCAAAACATTTGCAATTTTTTTTGGTGATCTCTTAATAATGATAGTTAATTTGAATATTTAAGTGCATCATAGTACAAAGACGTTATAATTGCATCAGATAAAGGGCTGTTAGATCTTAGTGCTGTTAGTTGTGGAGTCCCGCAGGGTTCTGTACTTGGACCTATTCGTTCAGGTGATACTTCTTCTCGGCAATATTATTAGGAAACACTCAATTAACGTAGTTATGCAGATGATACCCTGTTATATAAATTGATCAAATCAAATCAGATAAAACGTGTCAAAGGTCAAATTTAAAGCATAACTCACGCTTACGTTTGTAAAATATGATGTTTTGTTAATCGACCAAACAACATTACATTTTAAATGCATGATATCTATACTCAAAATGTGGTATTTAGGTCATCCTTTCTTTTACCCCAAAAAAACTAATCAACATTATTACAACTATATGAAAAAGGTACATAAAGTTGTTCAATGTCAGCAGGCGTATTAAAATACAGTATATTACAATTAGCCTAACATTTTGCTTAAGCCTTTCTAGAATAACACTCAATATACTTGAAGTTTTAAAAAGGACACATTTAGTATGCACTTTATATTTCAACTAAAAATTGTGATACATAAAATGTACAGACAAAAATGTGAAGTTTATTGACAAATATAACAGTGTAATGTTTGCTACATCTGCTGTTAGCAAAAGTTAATATAGCATCCTCTAGGGGCTGACACATTTGCTGTCCCACATTGAGATGGCAAGAATCTATACATTCCTGCGGGAATTCACAAAATACCAGAGGAGGGAGTGTGTGTGTGTGTCTGTGTGTTTTTGGGTGGAGGGTCCCTCTCCCCGGCAACATCTGAATGGGATCAGGGACTGACCAATAGTGAGGCTGAGAAGAAAGTTTGCTCACACGTCAAAGGATTTTTGTCACTTTGGGCCTCTCTGCTGTTGGTAGGTCAAGTCTGCTATACATAGAACTGAAAAGCTTCACAGAGGTTATATTGGGCGAAGAGAAAGGGATTATTCAATAAACAGTAGTTGGATTAATAAATGCTGATGAAGTTTTTTGAATGAACTGAAGCCCAAATTACTCCTGTTGACTCACTGTTTTGTGGAAAAGTTTGACATTTTGGAAGTATGAGTTAGAAGATCAATGCCACTCATGTTTATTTGTTAAATATAACGCTGTAAAGCCAAGAGTTGTTTAGGTTAGCTTAAGTTTAACTTAACAAGGGGAAGGAAATAGCCCTCCTTAAAACGTGCAACTTCCAGTAAAATTCATGTATTTATTCTTTATATTGCTTTTTCTGCACAGATTAAATAAACACAATACGACATGTCTGGTAGGAGGATTTTGTTACCATTGGAGGAGCCACTTCACTCAATCCCCCCTCCTCTGTGATGGTATATCAGGAGGTGGAGGAAGAGGGACACATTCAAAAATCAACCACAATTTCAAATGTAGAATGATTAAAGAGACAATAGATTTTTTTTTATAAAATGTTAAAACTCAAACATTATTATCACACTCTTTACAGTGAACTTTTTCACGGTATGTTTATATTATTGAATGTTTTTCATATTTATTGTGATTTTTTTCTAAATATGGTTATCATTTGACATGCACCTATAGATAAGTGCTTCTCAGTGAAAATCCAACCTGGCAATGAACATTATTCTGATCATTTGTTTTAGAATTAATTTACTTTTGACTTGGCATAAGTACTAGTTAAAGGGGAAACACCTAGGTTAACTCATGTTAAGAGGAAGCCTCAAATACTTATCAAAATATGTATCTGTAGTTTTACATTCATACAATTGCTGGGCAGGTTACTTTATTGCAACTTGCAAAAAACTACCTTCCTTTCAACACTGTGCATAGTAATACTAAACAATTACAACTAGCAGGTCACTCATTAATTCACACATATTTAACATTATCAATAATGTAAAAAGTAAGTTTATTTTAACTAAACAACATTCTGTACACATCAAATCAACCAAAGAGAACTTCCTGTAATGAAAAACCCTAACATTAATCATTAGCATTTAAATTATGAGCATTTTTTAAAGAGGGCTGCATGGAAAAGTCTGCCTTGCAGAACTTCCTTACCGTTTTAAAAAAGCATTTTATATTATTTAAGTTCCTTTAAAGTGAACCCAGCCACTCCTCCACTATATCTCCACTCTACAAAGACATCAGTGTGTGTTGGAGCGCTTTAGTAAGTAACCGACCTGTAGATCTTTAACAATGGGGCCTCACAGTATCTGACCTCATTTAGAGCTCCAGCAGAATGTGTTGCTCATTGTTTTCCACTCACACAGGAGAGCCGCCATGTTTGTTTCTGACCACCAGAGGGCACACAATAAAGTAAAGCCGGCATGCCAAGCTCACAGCAAAGTGGGACCGGAACGGCAGTATAGGAGAATTGGGAGGTGGGTGGGAGAGGGGCAGGTAAGGATTCCAGGGTACCCGTCTTCAACATACTGCTGTCACTTTTTTGTTTTATCTAACCCATCTCTGTGTCCGACCCACACACCCTAAAACCCC